GTGGGAGGTGCTCCTGGGCAGGAAGTTCTTGGGGCTGTGATGGGGGATTCTTGTTTAACTGCAGACAAGCTCTGAAGGAAGACTTAAGACAGGAGAGGCCCTACCTAGAACACAATCCACCACCTTCCTCCAGTCCCCAAATCTGAGCTTGTTGTCAAGTTGCACGTGCTGTTTCTAAGCCATCAGCAAGGCTGAGTTGGGTCTGGAGAAGGGAACAGCTGCCTCTCCTTCCCGCATTGGGTGCCAGCTGCACGGGGTGTCCTGCCAGGGGTGACGCTGAGAAGTGCTGATGGAGGACATAGTTTAGGTGGAAAGTGGAAGCTGGCGGGTAGGGTGGACACTGAGGCCTTGGCTCAGCAGTCCCGCTCTTTCCGCTGGGGCCGTGGGGATGGGCCAGCTGGACTGGGCTTGCCTCTAGGCTCCATCTGGAGCACCCGGTTTGGGGGGCTGGAGGCTGTGTGAGTGGGTTTTTGGGAGAGAGTGGCCTACAAATCTCACCAGGTTAAAATAAAAGACTCTAGGAGGTCATCAGGAAGAACATCCAAATGGAAGTTGGGGAGAGAAGCCTGCAGTTTGAGGAAGGACTTCCATTTCTGATCCAGGAGGGGACACAGTAATAAAGGACATCGATGCTATGCCTTGGGAGGGGAGTGCAGATGGACAGCAGGAGAAACTCCCCGAGGCTCCAAGGATTCAAGTCCTGCATGTAGGCCTCTCCCCAACCCAAAGACAGAACCAGGAGGGGACTCTTTGGTCTCCCCTGGCCACTTCCATCTCCAGGAATTGCTGTGGCCAAGGCTGTTTTTGCTCTTTGCCACTTCTCCTTCCTCTGGCCCACACAATTAGGCCTGGGTCAGCCCCCTCCCCAACCCACCCCAGAGGAGACTGGGGGGAAGGGAGGGCCATTAAATGTAGAGGAGAGCATATGATGGAGCCTCAGATTCCTGGATCCCAGAGTCTACACCTGGAGGAGGGCACGGCTCCCCATCTGCCTCAGGCACCCACTCCTGTTCCTGGAAGACTGTGGCCAGCTCTGCTCTATACCGCCAGGCTTGGCGACCTCTGCCATCCCTGGAAAGGGCTAGAGAGTGTGGTCCCCAGGGACTTCTATCTGGATAGTCCCCTCCAGTGAGGGAGAACTTTGCAGGGAAGTGAGCATGGCTGCTTGGCCAGATTTCCTAAGAGCCCTGTCAGAGCCCTGTCACCGTAACGACCACAGCACGTACTTCACAAGCACTTCCTGTGAGCGGCACTGCACACGCACTTCGTGTGCGTCAGCTCATCTATTCTCTGGGACAAGCCCAGGCCCCAGACAACCCTGACTTCCCATCAGAGTCCCCAGACAGCCCCATCTAGACCTGCTGGCTCAGGGGTGGGGCTGGGTACCAAGTGGGGATATTGAGGGCAGAGGATGCACCCGATTTGGAAGGTAGTTCCCTGGGGACTCTCCGATCCATGCCCCAGAGTCCAGCCTAGCACCTCTCCAGGCCTCCCCCGCTCTCTGCTACATCCCATCCTCCAGATTCCTCCTCCTTCCAGCCTGCTGACTCTACCCTTTTCTCTTCCCCTTCTGCTCCTGTGGTCTCTTGGGGGCAGTGACTCAGCCCTGAGGCAGAAACAACCCTTCCCCCAGACAGAGCCACCTTTCACCCCAGCTCTGGGCAGGGAGGACACAGAGTTGAGTCTCCAGTGCAGGGGCAAGGTTCAGAACCCCATTGGGAAACACAGAGGAGGATTGGGTTGGAGGCCTTGAGGCAGGGGCATGACCACCTTGACCGCTCAAGGTCTCATCTGATGGGACGCCCTCCTTCTCTCAGCTTTGGCTTGGTTCGGGGGGGCAGCTGAATTTTGTGGATGGGAAATGAGGTGAATGTGAGTCCACATTGAAGTAACAGTCCAGCACAGAGAGGGCCCAGTGTCCCTACACCATGCTGGCCAAGGGGCTGGATCGCGGAGGTGGGAAGGGCTGGAGGGGAACTGGGTGTTTCCCTGGGATGTCTGCAGAGCCTCCCTGGGCTGAGGAGGCCATGCCACTGGCCACAGGAGGCAGCTTTATGCTCCCTATAAGGAAGAACTTGCGACAGTAAGCATAGCTCAGGGAAGGAACAGGTGGCCACAAGCCTGAGTGAGGGCTTGTCTGGGAGGTGGGTGCGCAGGGCCCGACAACCACGGTGGTGGGTAGTGAAGGAGATGACCAACCTCAGACTCCTCCAGCCCCAGAGTGTGTGAGCTAAGTTCCTAACCTACTTCCTCCTGGGAGGGGACAGGCAGCTTCCCTGTCACTGCTTGAGTGGGTCCTCTGTGGGCTTCCCCTTGTCAAATCCTCATACAGCCTGTGGGTGGCTGCCAGTACTAACCCATGTCGCAAATGGAGACCTGGAGGCTTAGAGACCCCAGCTTGCCCAGAGTCTCACAGCCAGAGCACTGGCACAGGCGGGGTTCAGACCCCAAAATGTCCAAGGCCCAGGCTCCAGTTCTTGAACCAGGCTCTCAGAGACGCCAGAGGACTGCTAAGAGGGTCTCAGGGCACAGGAAGGGAAACTGAGGACAGTGAATCAGCCAAGTCAACTAGCAAATCTGACTCAGGGCTGGGCCCAGGGCCCACAGGTCTTGACCTGGGCCTTGTGTCCTGGGGGCTGCACTCAGATCTGCCTCCAATCCTGGGAGCTGGCATGAGCAGGGGAGCTGGTACCTCAGCCCTTCTGCCCCAGGAGGAGCAATACAAAGGGACGGCAGGGGACCATGGTGGGTTCTGGGAGTAGTCATGTGCCTCCAGCTGACCTGGCTCACGCATTCTAGCCTGCACTGCTCTGAAGTAACGAGCTGTTGGCTGGACACGGCTGGCAGGATGATGAGTCTTGGGAACTAGAGGGTGGACGCACGTGGAGGGTGGCACCGCCATGCGGTCTGGCCCCTGGGCTGCTGGCTGTCTTCCCACCCCGCCACTCACCTGCTTGTACTTGTATAAGAGCAGCAGCAGCAGTAACAACAGCAAGGCCATGATGGACATGCAGGCGACCAGCACTGGCGTGAAGAGGGACTCCTCGGGGGGCTGCATGGCCAGGCCTGGAAGGGATGGGGCAGGAGAGTGAGAGTCAGAGCGGCCTCCTTCCCCACTGGGCAACGTGGGTGCTCAGTAAAAGCTTGCTGACTGAAACAAGCGTCCTCTCATCAGGAGCACCCCCCAGAGCCTCAGAGAGCCTCATGCAGACCCTCCCTTAGCCAGAGGCAAGAAGGGCAGCCCACTGCGCCCCAAACCCTGCCTGGAGGTGCAGACTCCTTGGTCACACGCTGTAACCCTGCCAGTGTGAGGAGAACCTGCAGCAGCAGCCGGAGCCAGCCAGGGTTCTACCTTCATGCCCCAGTGATGGGGTTCACCAGATGGTGCCCTTTGGAATCACACAGCCCTTCTGAGAGCCTGAAAGTGGGGCTCACAGGCCCTGGGTCTCTTCTTCCCAAACCAGCAGCCCTAGTTCTCTCGAATTTGAGGGACCTGATTTCTACCCATTTTGCCCAGGTTAACAGTGCCGGGACTGAGGCCAATATCATCTTTGCCCCTTAGGAGACGAGGAACCTGTGATTCCTGCCTCAGCCTCGGGCAATTCTGATCCCCTGCGTGGGAAGGAGAATAGCACTGACCACTCAGATGGAAGAGTCCACTGAGATAATGTGGCCCAGGGTCAGTGCTCAAGAAAATGCGGTCTGTGGCCACCAGGCCACACAGGGCGGCCACGGGCAGCTCAGTGCTGGGCCACGGTAGCAGCTCGGCTACCTGAGGGCCACCTCTGAATCAGACCAGGGTACTTGCTGTGTCCTCTTTGGGCCTGAAAGTCTGGCCAGGTCTGGCCCACAGTGGACACCAGGGCCCTCTTGTTAGAGGGAGCCTGAGGCTCAAGTGTCTGCAACCGCGGGAATCAGAGTGCTGACACACGGAGCCGTTGTGCAGCACGGACGAGAGCAGCCCCTCTAGACTGTCCGGGCCCAAGGTCAGCCCAGGTGTTCTCTCTGATGGTCTTGACGGCCTTGTCTGGGAGGGGTGAGAAAGCCAAGCAGGCTCGGCCTGCTCTCTTGTCACTGCCCCTCACCCAGCCAAGCCACGGAGGCACGGCTCCCCTGCACACCACACGCACACGCATGCTTGTGAGGTCAAGTGAGGCGCAGGAGAGCAGGCTGAACTAGGCCACAGAGGATCCCGGTTGCTCTCTCTCTGACCTCATGCCTGTTTCCCCAGACTTCCAGTCCACCCTTCTAGACCCCCTTTGCCTCTGCTTCTGGAGACCTCGGGTTGGGAGGGTGTGGTAGGGCCTGCTTATGGTGAACTCTGGCTCCCTGACATGGTGCTGTTCCTTCCTGGTCCCTACACCCTTCATGTCCTTGAGGGGGCTCACTTGTGACGATGGGGCTGAAGGTGATGGAGCTGTTCCCCACACTGTTGTGGGTCCTGCACTCGTATGTCTTGTTGTGTTCCAGGGTCCCAGTGGCCAGCAGACTCTGGATGGTCACCTTGTGGAAGGGCTCCTGGCTCAGGAACTTGGTGTGGGGGCTCCCCAGAACCAGTCCTTGGGCCTCATCACACCTGGAAGACCAAAGCATGATTTGGAGTTTTGGGGTGCCCTTTCCCAGCCCGCAGCCTCGGCAACGAAGGTGGGCAAACTCACTTACCGCTCAGTGTGGCCCTGACACTGCAGCCAGGTCACGTTGGGAGGGGGGTAACCAGAGACATCACAAAGTAGGGCCTCAGAACCATTGATGAAGGTCCTTGTGATTTTGACCTCTGGGGGGTCTGAGAAAGAGAGGAGGTGTGAAGGAGGGAGGGGTCAGGTCCAGTGTCCCAAGTTCCCTGACCTAAGCGGCCTTGCACTGAGCCCCCAACTCCCAGCAGCCCGGAGACCCCACATCCCCAGTTCACTCACATCGAAGGGTGAGCTCAAAGGTGAGAGCCTTGCAGCCTCCATCATTGCTGGCCATGAAGGAGTAGTGCCCGGCCTCTGAGGGCTTCAGGCGAGGCAGGGAGAGGATGGAGTTGTACCTGCATGAGAAGAGCAGACCATCAGCGTGCCCCCCAGTCCTGAGATACCCCACCAGGATAGGAGGGCTAGGCAACAATCCTGAAGGCCTGTGCTTTATTTCTGGCAATGTGTCCAAGCACACAGACCTACACTGAGTCAGGTATAGGCTGGGTCATTGGGAACCCCCCTCCTCACATGGTACTTCCTGTCACAATGAAGTGACTTCATTCTGAGGTTCAGTAGAGGCGAGCCCTGAAAAGTGGGGGCACCAAGAGCACCTGCTTTCACATAGTCACTGAACCCTGCTGAAAGTGCCAGGCCCAGGCCTGCTGCCATGCCAAAAGGCCAACCCATGAGGACTGTGAGTGGGATGAGGGGCAGGCGTGGCCATGGGACTACCAGAGACTAGGGTTCAAGTCCTGGTGCTGACGTTTCTTAGCTGCAGGGTCTTAGACATGAACTTAACCTCTGGGAGCCTTCCCTTTTGGTGAGAGCGACCCTGACAGTAAGCCGTTCACAGACAGCCTGAGGACTAACGTGAATGTGTTCAGAGTGTCTCTTGGTGCTCATGGAATGGAACTTTTGTGATGGAAAAGGCCTGGAAAGCAAGTGAGAACAACCACACTTAGCCTCGGCTGTATCCAGGTGATTTTTGTTTCACCCCTTTTCTAATCTCTATTTTATATAGTGCATAATAGCACATATTGTTGAAGTCATAACTACACTTTTAAGAAATAAATGATGGCAAATGACCAGGTCCCACCTGGACATGTTGTGGCCACTCGGGACTAGACCTGTGGAGTGCCAGGGCCTCGGTGCAGTCAGCTTTCTGGTCTATGACAACTTTCTACACCTGCCTGCTCTGAGGTGACTAACACTACCTTTCACATAGGAAAAAATTTAACCTTTACAGGTGACTCAGTTACTATTAGGAGGCCCCCATCACAAGGCCTAAGAGGGTGGCTCCTTGGTACCCAGGCTCACCTGGCCTCAGCTGAGTGGCCCCCGAGGCTGTGTCTGAGGGATCTCACTGCTCCTTTCCACTGTCCCCATTGTTTGAGGACCAGAAGGGAGGAGAAGGGACTTGGGAGGAGGGAGGACAGGGGAACATCCTTGTCGACTCAAATCAACAAGCAAGAGTAGAGGATTGGGCTTCAGGAGTAGAAAGAGAACAGAGTCTTGGGAGTTGAAAGCTGTCCAAGGGACTGTCTGGCTCAGAGATGGCAACCCTGGAAATATTGCCTGGAGATTGTGTTGAGAAGGGCTCTGAGGCTGCTTCTAGACTTCAGGGAATGTTGAAAATGGATCAGGGCTATGTATCCGGAGTGAGTGTGTGTTAGGGGCAGTTACAGCACACACACTCGGCATCTGCCCTCCTGCATCGAGGTGTGCTCACTCACTCAGCTAGAGCGGAGTAAAGAGACTATAATTTTAATGCCTGTGTCAGTATGCCTCTTAGGGGCAACTGTCTTGTTTAGGGAGGAACCGTCTTGTTTAGGGAGGAACTATCTTGTTTAGAAAACCACCTGGTTAGCCCACCTGGGATAGGAAATCGAGATCCTGAGGACACAGTCTGTAAGGAGATGGGAAAAGAGATTTCCAAAGCATCGTGTTTGTGAGATAAACAGGATTCTGAAAAACTCCAAGAAATGGAAGAATTCTTGAGGAGGTCACTAGATTTCCCAAGGATGTCAGATGAAGGGATAAGCCAGTTTGACTGAATCTCAGAGATGACTGATATTGAGGGTCGACATTGTCAGGGAAGGTGAGACAGGCAAGGCAAGGGACTTGCTCAAGGTCACCAAACAAGGTAGAGGCTC